ACAAGATTAATGACAGAATGGAGGATGACAAGAGGTACAGAGGACCAAACTAAAGCATTTTTAGAAGGTTTTAATTCAGTTGTACCATTAGAATGGTTAAAATATTTTGATGAACGTGAATTAGAGCTTATGCTTTGTGGTATGCAAGAAATTGATGTAGAAGACTGGCAACGCAATACGATTTATAGACATTATACACGAAATAGCAAACAAATCTTATGGTTTTGGCAGGTTTGTTATTGTGCTTATAGAATTATTTTCAAAATATTACTCAATGTCTATATTATTTATTCTAGTTTTTTATTTTATTCAGTTTGTAACAAGAACAGATAGTGAAAAACGAGCTCGCCTTTTACAATTTGTAACAGGTACTTGTCGAGTACCTGTTGGTGGATTTGCAGAATTAATGGGTAAATAATGAATAATACCAACAATTAAATGTTATATAATTTATACAGAGCAATTAATTTATATTGGGAACTATTATTGTTATTTTTCTAGGGAGTAATGGTCCTCAAAGATTTTGCATAGAAAAAGTAGGAAAAGATACATGGTTACCTAGATCACATACATGTTTCAATAGATTGGATTTACCACCATATAAGAGTTATGATCAACTAGTAGAAAAGCTAAACTATGCAATTGAAGAAACAGAAGGTTTTGGTCAAGAATAATTAGAAATATTCTTTGTTACGTATAATATACCACTGCCGATGAAATGATGAAAACAAATTTAGTGTAGTGGTACAAGATTTTACTAGTTTGATTTATTCACTGACTTTATTCAATAACAAGATAAAATTGCTACATAAGAGTTTATTTTGATTAATGAATTGGAAATATTTATATAACACTTTTATAAAAATTCTTATATTAATTTTAGTTGGAAATGTATTTCAAAGTATACTATATGTTGGTAAGTTAGCTGTTGAAAGAAGTTGTTCAATTTTTGATGGTCACAAAGTCTCTACTCTTAAGTCTTTGATAGCATACACTGATAATAAGATAAGTTACATCATCATGGTTTTTAGCTTTTATTATTTAGTTAATATCGATACTATATATATGGTATTTTTATATTGAAGTTATCAACAAATTATTTGATATAGAGATACATATTGTATAATATAAATATTTTTTCTATAGGTGGCATAAAATCAAAACCATATTTTTAAAGAATTCTACGCTTTTTTATTTACAATATTATTTACTGAAATAAATTAAACAATCTATTCATAAAGCTATTTAGTGTAAAACAAAGTAATAAATTTGTAAATTCTTAGAGTCATATAAATGTCAATCCAAATGATGCCTATTCTATCACTCACTTTGAACAAAGATCATACTTTTTATCTGCGTTTATACGTTTCTAAGACAACGCTCTTATGACATTATCTTTTTATTCTAAAAATTATCCTTAAAATTTTTTATTAGGAAGATACAATATTACTGAAAATATCAAAAATAAAGATTCTAAAATAACAAACAAAAATAATTTATACTTATCTTGTTAAAGTAATAACAATAATTATTTAAATGTTGCTGTATATGAAACAGCCTTCTATGGATTTAAATCTGTTAGTAATTTAAGACATAAGAACAAATAAGAAATTCAACCTTTCTTCACAGTATGTGATTAAATAGACATCAACAATCAATTCATTTAAAAATTTATGAATTTATTACTACATCTTGTAATAAATGGCCTTATAAACAATTCATGAAATGAATTTGTTTCAATAAAAGTCATTATATTGTAAAAAAAAAGTATAAGATCCTACTTAACAAAATTAATTTGACTTCAAAATTTGTGCCATTCATGAAAAAGATATTTATATTATATAATGTTTGATTTTATATCAAATAATTTTTATAAGAATAATAACTTGAACCTGTACGAAATATTCCACTATTTCCAGTTTGAAGAAACACCCTTTGTACGCTAATGTTTTATATCTGTTTTGTAATATTTATTACCCTGTTCATTCTCTTCGTCATGCGATGTTATATGATCCAGTTTGTACATTAATACATTTGATGAAACAAAAATTCGTGAGTTCCACTTTTATGCTCATATTAAAAAAGGTGTTTAATTATATATTCAATTAAATTTACATTCTTTCTAGCTATTAACTTACCAGCAAAACAGAGAATTTCATTTATTTCATATATGTCGAAATTAAATCTAAATATGTAAAATTCGTAGAAAATATCAATGAAATGCACAGAAAATATTAAAAAATTTGTATATATTTGCAAAGTAAAACTTACAAACAATTTATAGAAATAATAAAATGAAAGCAAAGATGCCAAAATAAAATAGTTATCTTATGATAATTGAGTTTTTTAAGGTTAGTTGTATTTTATTTTATTATATTTCAATAATAATTATAACAAAAAACTAAATTGTCTTTTAATTACTCTTAGTTATTGATGCTTTCTACGATATTTTAATGACATTCCCTATTGAAGGGCTTGAAAATTATAATAACAAATGCTGTACATATTAAGCTATGAATATATTATATTTTATGTGACAAATTAACAATAACAATTTCATGTTTTGTCCTAAGCAATTATAAAAAATCAATTTGGAAAAATTTTGAACATAAATTGGAAAATGAAAAGTATTCAATTTTAAATTAATTATTTGGATAAATAAAGTAATGTATTAAATATTTAATATATGAATCTAAACATTTGATAATTATACTTTATATATTTCAGTTGATTCTTTTACCACTTAAGATACTATAAGTAAAAAATAGAAATAGTAGGAATAATTTAACAAAATATTATTCTATTGTAAAGAATGTTATTCTATTATAAAAACTATATTATTTCAGATATTTGTAGATTATTAGCATTTGCTTGTATTACCATGTATAAAATTTATATATTTTTATATTCAGTACTCCCATAAAAACATGATATCACAAAATAAATGTTAAATAATTTTATGATTTTCTTTATTATATTCTTAAATAATAAAGAATTAGTTTGTATACAAGAAATTAATAAAAAATATGTGTTATATACATTTATGTAAAAGTATAGCAATAAAAGTGAACTTAAAGAAATGTAAATTTGCATTAAAAAATTGCGAACTTGTAACTAAATGCTAAGTTGTTTAGTGAACTTAAAAAAATATTTAATTAATAACATTTATTGAATATAATAATTTGCATATATATAATATACGTACATTTTATAAATTTTTTAACATGAAAGTGATAGAACATATTTTACAATTATTTACTCTTTCATTCAAACCAGTTTATAATGTTTAATTTTATGTTTACTAATAGATAATTACTAATCTACTTATATATTATCAAAACTTTTTCTTTCAGAACATCTGAAATAAATTTTTTAAATTTTGATATTCTTTCATATTATAACCTTAGGATTATAAACATGAAGTTTGTTAATGTTTTCAACAGTAATTTGTGTGTGCATATATGCACTCATATGTGTACAAATAGCTATTGTAATTAATGTAAGAAATAATTAACACATTTAATATGCATGCAATATAAAATTGTATATGTGTACACACAAATTAAATTCATAAAATGCATATTACAACAGTAATGTATTACAAAATAAATGTATGAAAAATTTATAATAATATTCAAAAAAATTAGTGTACTTATTCATTAGTAAATTACTTAAAGTGCATATAAATACTTGTATTATAAACTTCTGTATAATGTATATTCTAAGTTTTGTAACTTAGTGTGTACAATGTATACACATTTATAGTGTATGAAACCTTTTACTGTTATCTTCTAAAAATATTAATATTAATATGTTATTTTCTATTATTTCAACATAACTGTATGCATTATTTATTATTTATCATTTTCTGGGTTGTTCAAATTTTTACTGTAATAAAAATATTTTAAAAGACGGATAAAATACTTCATTTTTTTATTGATGTTATTATTTAAAATTTATTTTCTGCAGGTGTTGAAAATAGTTATGATATTGATTTTTTAAATAAATTATCAAGGATCAAAAAAATATAAAATAATTTTGATAACTATAAAATGAATGTAAAAGCATAGGAATGCTATAATGTTAAACTGCAAATTACAGATGTCTACTTTTGTTATTTCATAAAATAGAAATATTAGGTTTTATAAAATGAATTTATGAATGTTTTCGATTATTGTCAATTTCCTCCGATAACTATAACTAAAAAAAGGTCCAAACACCATCAGATAAGGATCAGTTTCATTGCAACTAATTTAGTTTGAAAATCGACCATAAATCTGAAAGATTTGTTATTCTTAATGATTTCTTATTATCTCATATGTATAATTATTTATTAATATACACGTATTTATAAATGTTGATTTTCAATTTTCAATACATACACTATATATTACTATAAAATTGAATATTGTGTATTCTACTTATGAAACACTTGTATCATTACATGAATAAATAAAGAAGTACACATTTGGAAATGATTAATAATTTGTATTTATATAATGTTTGTATTATATAGCATACATATAAAGTTCTAATATTATTACATTGATTTAACTCATGTTTACAAATTATTAAATAAACAAATTTATCAATGTAACAACTTAAATTAATTATGTAAATTATTAACTAACATCATTATATTATTAACTTTAAATATTTTTATGAAAAATTAAATTAACGTTCAAATAATATACATATTACATTACAAATATTACGAATTATAAAACCTTACACAATTAAAATAAATTATATTTTTATATATTAAATAAAAAAAAAAAAGAAGTTTGTTTAAAAATAAAACAAATAATACATGTATGGTTATTTTCTTATACATATATGTTCAAAGAATAAACTAATTTATACATTACAATCAAATAAATTTAATACATGTTATATAAAACTCTAATTGCAAGAGTTTATTTTTCTATTTAACTACATTATATTTATTACTCAATTTATCATTTACATCTTTTTTTTATAGATAACTATTCTTTCAATTTTATTTCAACTAATCATAATTTCGGATTTGGTTTAAAAAATTTGTCCCAAAATGTCAAGTCAATGTTATGAAAAATATTTCTTCCATTTGGTAGTTTGTTTTTCTTGAATAAATCACCTGAAATTCACATTTCATTTATGTAATGATCAATTTATGAATGAAAAATTCACTTTTCATTTATGTAAAACTTTAAGAGTTTTATTAATTGCAATTGCTACTTGCATTTATTGAAGTAAAAATGATAAGTAAAGAAAAGTTATGAAAAAGTACAATAATTTCTAAAGTGATAGAGACATGATCCCAAGGTCTAAAAAGAATAGTGAGAACACAAATAACAAAATTGATTAAATTGAAAATGATTTTAATGGCAAACAAAGTAAAAAATGTAAAGGAAAAATTAAAAAAAGCAAGAGAAGATTATTCCAATAATAGAAAAAAATATAAGATGTTAAAGTAAGAGTAAATAATAAAGAACTAAGATGGATAGATTCTTCAAAGAAGAAAAGATAATGTTGTTACAAAGGATTAATTATAAAAATTTGATAATAATAATAATATTCTATTTTTTTTTTGTTTTTAATATAATAGAAACGGTAAAAATATTTAACATGATAAGATTAACTGATAATAATGAGAACACATTATTATCATAAATATTTTACATAAATATTCTATTTATACTCATTATCTAAATTACTTACATTCACTTATGTCTGAAAACTCTTCTATTTTTGTTTCCACTCCATTTTTATCTTTCTTTGTAACAACAGTGTGAATTTTGTCACCAACTTGATGTGATATAATAGTTTCTTCATTTCCATCATAATCTTTAATAACTTGTTTTTGCTCTACTGTGCCATCAGCTTTACGAACAAATTCTTTCCTCACAGATTTTCCAATTATGTATGGCTGTGATAATTTTACTTCTGGTTTCTTACATTCATCCCAAATATTAGAAAAATTGTCTGCAGTAACTCTATTTAAATTAATAAAATTTATTTCAAACTACAAATATTATATCCAATAATTTCTTAACTTAGATGAATAAATTATAATTATGTTATTAGAATTATTTACTAACTTTCCATCTAAATCTGTATCTAATTCAGATCCCATCTGATCACTGTTTGATTTTAGCATTTTATCACGTAAACTTTGTCTTTCTGATGGTGCAAATGAAAATATATTTGTATTTGCATCAATTCCTAAGCAAATTTAAAAGAATATTTTTATATAAATTTAAATTTATATTCTATTGCATAGAAAGTAAAAACAAAATATATATATATATATATACCTGCGTTACTAAACCCATAAATAAAATTTTTCATCATATTCTCAATTTCAGATTCAAAAAATTGTGTTATTTGTAATGGGTCACTAAAGATATTAAAATGTCTGTTTCTCCTGAAATATTTATTACAGATAAAATCTTATAGTAAAATTAATAACTTTATATTTAAGTAAACATAAAATAAAATAAATAAATATACATGATACACAATTTTATATCTTTATGTAAAATTTAAAATAATAGTCACCTGAAATCATCATTAATATCAATGTTCCATATTGAGTGTTCAAAATTGTCTTCATCCAAAATATTTCGATGACCACTAAATATAAAATATTTAATATTTAGTAGGAGTTTTATTATTATAATATAAAAAAACGTAATAGATTACGTTTTAAGAAACAAAGAGGCTGTCAAAATAATATAACTACCAATAGTTCATAACTTATAAATTAAAATATTTGTTTAAATTTTTACCCTCTATTTTCAAAATATTCCGAGTTTCGGCCACCAAATATATTGCGAATAAAATTCCAAAACTCCATTTTTTACACTTCAATCCACTTAAATGATTAGACAAGAACTTACATCATGTTTTCGAATGTTCTCGAATCAAAGTCAGTATATGTATGTACATAATTATTTCGTAAATAGTTCTATACACGTTTTTAGTGTTGGTACTACATTGTACTACTGTTACTTATAGATACTATTTATACTGTTGGTACTACATTGGTGTTGCAATTATCTATTTAATTATCTTTAATAATTACGTTATGCTATCATATGAACTTAACTATAACATACCTGTGTCTAAAATATAAATTAAAAGCGAAATTTGCATTTTCTGTACATATATGAAATGCAATACATATGTGCACATTATCAAATATTCAATGCGGATAATAAACTTAAAAAAAAGAAATACTCAAGAAATACTCTTTTTAAAAAATTTTAAATATAATTATTATAGACTATACATAATACATTTTTTCATATTGAATTATATATAATGTATTAGCAGTGTCAATTAAATAACATATGACTTCTAAGAAATATTCTATTTATTAAAAATATTTGATCTTAACAAGTTTATATTCTACAAAATATATATTTATAAGTACGTGTATATCACGTTAATGCATACAAAAATGGTGTTTCCATTTTTAACAACTCAGGAATAAAATCGAAGGAAGGAAAAACTCATTAATTGATAAATCAGAACTCGGTCTTTTATTGAAGTATAAAAATCTAAAAAAAAAAAAAAAAAAACGCATCAGAACTCAAGAAGAAAAAAATTTTCGACCCATTATATATATTTCCATATCTCGAATAGTCAGCATTACAATCTGATTGAAAAGATTATAGTAAAAGTTTGATTTAGTACTTCATGCGAAGTATGGTACCAACCTATGAAAACTATAGTCTTAAATAATCTCTAAATATATTCCTTTTAAATCCATAAATATAGACCAGTATTTATAACTTGAAAAACGTTAAAAAAATGGAAAAATAATATTTAAACTTCAGTATAAATAATAGTGAACTTATAAGCCTTCTAATAAAAATACTTTTTCTAAAATATTTTAACAACATTTAAATTCAATTTAAAGTCTAAAATATATTTGAGTAATTACTTATGCCTCCAAAATTTAAATCAGTTTAGTATTGCACAATAATACTTCACAAATATCATACCATAATAATGTAATGTAATCAAAATATCGTATATTAAATATCATTTAAACATATTATATAATATAAAAACTATAAAAGCTTTAATAATTATTATTAAATTATAATTACATCTAAAAACTTTTAAAATAATAAATTTAAACGTACCGCCATGATTCTCTTCATTCTGTAATTGTATCTCATTAGGAAATGCTACATCTACGAAAGGTAACTCTACTCTGTTGTGAAACAGCTACGTTTGATAATCGTAATTATTGAATGTAACACAGTGACACTACTTTTATATCATAGCAATATGTAAGAACCAGTGAAATTAAAACCATTCAATTTATCAGTATTATTTAATTAAGTTATATATAGACTATCAGAAGGAAATGATATTTTCATATAATAAAAAAGCACTTAAATCAATTTAAACATATGTAATATCATAATTTTTTCAAAAATATTTTATTATATAAATTTATGTAAGTGATATTTTATTATATAAATTTATATGAAATATAAATAACATATTCTAATCATACGGTGAATTAATATAATTATACAATGTATTTATAAGATCCTTTTGAATTAAATTATATTAGTAAAGGAACTTACTAAAAGATCATAAGAAAAGTTGATTTTTTCTATTTATGTAATTTTGAAAAGCTATAACGATTTTAATCTTTTAAACTTTTTTCATAATTTATGTAAATCAGAAATTTATCACTATTTAAAATCTCTATTTTTCTATATATTCAAGATTTCATTTTCTTATATTAATTACTTTTGTTTTAGGTCAAAAGAAACATCATCATGATAAAATACAAAATACACAATATAGAATTATCTTATTAAACTACGTTTATGTTTTAAAAACTAAACAATGAATAATATTTCTGGACAATTTCGTAAAACAATATGGGATCCATTTCTTATAATATCTCAAATAATTGCTATCCAAACTGTGATGTATTTTTGTCTTGGATTATGGATTTGGATTGTTGCATCATATATAGGTTCCACAAAGTCATTAGATTATGTTTTTCATTATAAAGAAATACATGTTAGAGATTTTGCTGGTCAGTTTATTATAATTATCTTTATTTTAAATGCATTAATTGGTGCAATTGCATTATGGTGGTTAGTGCAAAGAACAAAGCAATGTATGGACTTCGCCTGTACAGCGCATTTAATACATTTATTGTGTTGTTGGATATATAATGCAAGTTTTCCATCGACTTTCAGTTGGTGGTGTTTAAATATTATATCTTTAAGTATAATGTGTGTTTGTGGTGAATTTCTCTGTATGAAAACTGAATTACAAGCAATACCATTGAGTATGAATAGTCAAAAAACAGCCTTGTAAAAATTTATTGTCAAAGTCCAACTTTTGTTTAATAAATATTATCATTTTAAATAAAATCCAAAATAGATAAATAAGAGTCATGGTATTTACATATACTTTTAACATTTATTACCATAAATATACATTGAAATACATATTTGTTTAATAATTAAACTACTTGTCTTTATTCCAATTTGTTATTCAATGATGTTCTTTATAAAAGCGTAAACCACAATAACCACAAGTATGGTTACCAGGTTTATCCTAAAATAAAACGTTATTTATTAAAATAAAATTATTGAATGTATTTATTTATCTTATAGCTATACATTATTTATACCAAGTTTATATAAACTTTTGGATGTCCTAAGGGTCCACCACCTCCATCACATGCTACAATTTTGTCTTTTGCAGATGTAGGAGCAACTTCTGCTATTAATTTAATGGCCCAATTATCATTAACTTCTTTTGGTCTATTTACAAATCGGACATTACGATAATCATCTTTGTCATATATCTATTATAAAATAACCGACTATTATCAAATATTTATTATAAAAAACTGTAGAAATATCAATATATTTTTAATGGTTTTATTTTACCTGACCAGTATGGGTAACTTTTTTAGCAGAATCTGAAGTTACATCACAGAGATTTCTTGTTATTATTCCTGTCATACTAATTTTATAACCTTTGTTAGAAGCTTCCAAGAATCGTACGACCTTCGTAGCCGCCATTTCTTCCAACGTTTCTAATTTTTCTTCATAGGTGTCATTGCATGCAGAGATGTAATAGCAGCACCTGTAAACCGTTGTAAATCACCTCACTGACGTAGTTGATTCGCCCTCTTTTGGAGGAATTCTGTCACCAAAGACTAATATTTTCTGTAGAGATCTCAAGTAAATTGTTGGCTGTTGTACATTTGTTAATAAAAGTTTATAAAAGGTAAAAATACGAGTCATTTACACAAAGATATAATTCCTCATTACCTTTAAGCAGTATATTTGTTAAAATGTTAAATTGCAGTATTTTGTGCTGGCTAGGATTACATAATGAAAGTAGAGTAGAATTACGAATAAAGTTCATGTGACACGATGCATACATACATGCCGCACATCACTCCATAGGCATCTCGCGTATAGTATAATGTATTCGAAAATTCATAAAATGAAAGTGAAAATGAAAGTATTATTTTACTGCATCGTCTATTGATAACAACTGTTTTAAATATTTAAGGAAGTAACGAAACATTTAAAATAATTCAAATATTATGAAAATATTCAGATATATTTAGGTGTATTTTTATTTTGAAATTTCATTATTTTTACAATAGATGTAAATATTGATGTTCAAAGTAGTATAAGCGATACGAAATACGATAATTGTTGCTTCAGTCATATAATATTCACATCATATAACATGGATAACGAATGTAATCCCAAATTCTCTCATTTCGCCGCAAAACTTATTCGAAGTTAATATCATATAATATTAACAGATTTTCGGTCCCTTTATTTTTACCTAAATATCTTTTGTAGGTCAGGACAGTAAAACTTTTAAATTCGTGTAATATTTTCTGATTTAAAAAATGTAATGTTTTGTAATATAATATATCCTTGTTTAACATAAATATACTTATAAATAATATGAAAATTATATCTAATAAATAAAGTTTCCACAATTGAATGATTTAGTTTAAAATTATTTTATTTAGTGTACAATACAACTGTACAAATAAATAGATCAATAAATTATGATCCTTGAGCTTAATCGAACAACCCTGTAAAGAAAAAATTTGTATTAAAAGAAAATTCTTTCTTTCTCTATATAACATAATTAAAATGATATTCTCATTTTTTACTTTCATCAAACACAACATCAGTAGCTAATACATGATAATAATCATTGAATGTAAAAATCTTTCATCCGTAATTGCTATTATAATAATTATAAATATATTAAATATATTACATACCAAAGCCCATATCATCATCAGATTCCACTTCAGGTTCTTCTTTCTTCTTCTCTTCCTTAGCAGGTGCACTTTCTGTACTAACAGGTGCAGCTACTGCTGGTGCTTTAAGAAATAAACTCTCTTATTATATAGAAATTAAATTTAATAGTTGTCTAATATTAATGAACACATAATAATCTTAATATATGTATCATTGTCGTATATAGAAACTTCAATCACATTTAAAAATATGATTATCACAACTTTCTATTTCTTTTCTTTTTCCTCTGTTGCTGACCGCTCAGATATTCAAGTTCATATGGAACGGTGGATGATAGAGGAATTATAATGGTATAGGTAATATAAATACATATATACATTTAATAAATTTTCCCAATACAAAATGAAAACATGTTTAGAAATGATAAATATGTTTTATCTATATATTACCTATATATATATGAAGTATCTGTATAACAAAAAAGTTGCACAATATTTAAATTATATATCATATTATATAATAATATGATAAACTTATCAATGTATTGATTCCTCACCAATTTTTATAATTTCCAAATATGATATGCCTTGTACCTTAGACAACTTTTCTTTTGTACAAGTAACTAGTACTTAGTTTTAGTTTCTGGGACATTAACAACATTCTTTTGATATTATTACATTAATTTCTATCCATACATGTGCTTCCATAAGTTAATTAAAGCTTATCAAAATCAGTGAGAGACCAATAGATTATTAAGTTCATTGATTAAGATCTCAACTTTTAATTCTCTATAACTTTTACAATTTAGTTATCCTAGAATTCAAATATACAAACTTTATTTCTGAAGAAATTTTATAACATATTTTTGCACAATTAATGAACAGTTTATGTAATACATTTAATAGAAATAATGTGTTTTCAATTATCATTATTACAAAATTATATCGCGTTTAAAAAAAAAAATAAGATCTGGTAAAATTTTTTTCATTACAGCATTCTATTTTTGAACTCAAAAATATAATATATTTTTTAAAAATTATATTTTTATTACCTGCTGCTGGTGCACTTCCAACTCCTGATCCAATAGTTGTTATAAGTTCTTTTATATTAACTCCTTCTAAAGCCTTCGCAAAAAGGCCGGGCCAATATGATTCTACATCAACATTGGCGGCTTTTAATATTGTTTGAATTTTTTCGCCCTGAATAATAAACGAATATTTAAAATAATAAGTATACCATATTTTTACAATTTTATATATTTTCTTATCTTCGTATTATAAATAACAAAATAAAAAACAATATTTCAATTTTTCATAATATTAAAGTCACGTGTATGACACTTACAGTTACAGCGACGTCATCATCAACAAGAATTAATGTTGAATAAACGCAAGCAAGTTCAGCTTTCGTGTTCATGTTTGTTACTTGCATAAAATATACTGAAGTTAGATGAGATGATAATAACGGTGCAAGTCGCCGATATAGCCTTAGCTCAACAAAAGAGAACAAGCACCTGATTCACACAGTACACTAAAAGGAAAGGGAAGCGTTAAAAGGAAATCACGTGATATAGCTTTAAGGAGTATTTTCAATACAACTAAAGGTAAAAATATAATCTATTGATTAATCTGGTAATATGAAATAAAATATTTTTCACTGTACATTTAATATATTTGTACTTAAAATAGTATTTTTTTCTTTTAGTTTTTCAATTTTTTTTTATTTAATACATACGTTTGTACGTACATATAATATTGTTAATATATATTCAATGTCATATTTTCATGTGAATATGATAATATATGATTATATGATCATGAGAATATGAAATATTTAAAATAATTTTTATATCTATAACTGATATCCAAACAATTTTACTAGTAAAAACTTAATTTATTAGTTAAAATGTATTATTCTAAAAAAAAAATATTTTAAACAGTGCATGTAAAACATCATTTCATCATGTTGAGAATATTCATGAAAATCCGAAGAGGGCGCCACATATTGACAAATTTATTTAATGAGGAATTCATGTATACTCGATTATTTGTAGTAATATCGAAGTAAGCCTGAATCGACGTTCTTCAAACAGTTCGGATCGATTAGTGGATCGTATACGTAATTGAGTCAGTTTAGTGTTTTTACGAACGTTGAAATATTTTCACGTAGAAGAGTGCATGTCAAGGTGGTCGGCACACAATTATTCATTTTGTGCTTATATTTTATTTTTACGAATACTTCAGGAAATGTTCTTTTGTGGTACGTTGCTATGTAGCACGTAAATGAAGCGACGGCGTATAGCGCGGTCGCATGTTAAAACGATACCGCTTGTGGGAACGATGAGAATGGCGCGCAAATGTTGCGTGCGTAGCTGTGAGGCCGACGTGCAAGATGCGCGTGCTAAAGGGTTACCGCTTCATAAATTTCCAAAAGATCTTAGTTTAAGAAATAGATGGTTGACCAGTGGTGGATTTGAAGCAAGCTTTAAACCTTCACCAGGTCAAGTTGTTTGTCACAGGCATTTTAAACGAGCTGATTACGAAGCTGCTAAAGGACACAAATTACTTCTACGTAAGGGCAGTATTCCGTCGGTTTTTGCAGACTATGACAATCATCCGGGTGTGTACTTTTTACTATTTATTTCTTATATAATATCGGTAAATAAAAGAATTTTATATTTGAAAGCTTCAATTTACACGTGTTCTCCAAGTTGTTATTTATTATTCTTTTTTCTAATATTTCTTTTTGATTTGTTTCATTCGATCGTAGTTCATTTATTTCTAAATATTTTCTTTTGTTCAATATATAAGCAATTATATACATATTATATAGATATTAAATATATAGAATGCAGGAAAATGTTTCTACTTTTTGTTATAATATTTATTTATTATTTATTCAAATCCTATGATATATTAGTTTCAAATTCATTTATAATCTTAGTACATTTGTTGTACATTAAGACATATTTGGTCTATATTCTCACTTTATATATTCTTTGGTATGTGATTGAGAAAGCCAAAAATATTTTTAATATAAAGGAGAATTTATGTTCAAATTTTTATGTAACTATATTATGAGTGTTATTTTCATGCAGTGAATAATTTAATTAAATATTATAATTAATTTAACATAATAAAAGATAATAAGGAATATATTAACATTTTTTTTATAAATGATAGTGAAATGTCTTAAGAAGATAAAAAGCTAAAAAAGAAATAGAAGTAAGCTACACAGTTTTTTCTTAACATTTCTTTTGTGAATGTGTAATTGAAGAATATTTTGATATAAAGAACATACACATAACATATTGTTTTTTTACATGTACAAAGGTGAAATAACTTTGTATATTAAATATTGAATGTGTTAATACAAACATTAGAATTTTATAGAATGTAATATTAGTTGCTATTATTGTTATCGTTTTATTATAATTTTTTATTCTTATATTTGAATGTTTTTTTATAGTCATCTTTAAAAATATTTCGACATTAATATCATTTTGATTTCTAATAAAATTGAATTAAAGCTTCAGAATAGCCATTGAGGATAAATATGATTAAATATTTTAAAGTTAGTTTCTAAGCTCAATGAAAAATAATATTTCAATAATATTTTCTATATGAGGAATATACAGAAGAAGGAGAATATTTACATTAATACAAACAGAAAAATGAAGTATCAGTTCATAAGAACTAATACTGAAAAACTCTTTTTAGAAAATACTACCATCTTAAACTTTTTATTTATATTTATTACATTTTTTTGCAGATCCTGTGATTATGTCTGTGAAATCATCAACTTCTTATGCACAAGAGGATTTAGATCTTATTAATTCAGAAATTTTGAACTTAGAACAGTCTATATCTCCATTGAATTCTGGTGCCAGGACACCAAAGTCTGATAGCTGTGGAGAAACATGTTCTTCTCGACCAGAATCATCAGCAGATTCCTTTAATTTGTTAGATTCAGCAGAGTTAGTTGATAATAAATGTAAAACGTTGAGTGCGAAAGAAGAAAATGTGATTCCTGTGAAAGAAGAAATAAATAAAAATTCAGACATAGAAGTAAATACTATGGCAGTGCAATTAGGCATTGTTGAATCAGATGTAGCAATAAAACATATACAAAAAGATTTGGCTATTAAAGAAGAACTTAAAAGTATTAAAATGGAAGATGAAAAAGCATTTGACAAACCAGAAGAACTAAAACCAAAAATTTTTAATCGAGGTGGATTAAAATTTTTTCCTGGTGCCAAATTAGAAGCAAAAGATTTTAATGAAAAATGGTAAATATTTATAAAATTATTTAACAATAATTAGTTAATTAAATATACTTATTGTAACAACTAATGAAAGCTTTTGTAAATAATTATCTGTTGTTATATTACAGGTATTCAGCAAAAGTAGTGGAAACTGATTGGGATGAACGGGAAGTCCTGATACGTTTTGATAAATGGAGCTCAAGATTTGATGAATGGATACCTATGGATAGTTCTAGGTTACGTGTATTACAAACTCAATCGAAGTAAGTAGAGATATTTCAATGAATCTACAAAAAAATTACCTGAGCTAATAGATACAGAAAATAAAAAATGTTTACATGAATAATTTTTGACTTGATTTATTGTATGAAGTATGTTCTGTATTACTTATAGACCTATTCTTTTTTAAAGCGAACAAACCTGGAATCTACCATCTCCGTAAGTGGATATTGTATAATTATTGATTAGGAGAAAAAATTTGTGTAACTTATAGTATCTTTCACGAATTCATTAGAATTATTACATTATTTTACTTCTTACCATGTCAATAGTAAATTTTCTTCCGTTTTCTCTTATTTCTTCATCTAAACCTATGCATTTCTACAATTTTGAATTATAAGTTTTCTCTTTATGATTTCTCTATATAAATGATTAAGAAATGGAAATATTTACTCAAATATCAAAAGAAAAAATAAGAAAAAATACTTTTAGTCATTTATGTTGTGTTGAAATATTATTTTACAATTTATGTTTATATAGAATGAGATGTTTAAACTTTTTTCAGAGTATATTTTGCCATTCTGTAAACTTTCATTTAAAAAATTTTTGAAGATTGTAGTACATTTGTTTTTTCCCCTTTCTCTGTTTTTCTTTTTCTCTTTTTCTCTTCTCCTTTTTTTTTTTCTCTCTTTTTATGAGATGAATATAGTATAAAATATAATATATAACGAATATTGATGTGAATGTTATATCAACTTAAAAATATAAAGCAAAATATATTTACATTGAATTTTCATATATTTTTGCATAATGTCCATGAAATAAGATCATTGCTTATAAGAGAAATTGTTTAATTATTTGCATCTATTTATTATAATGACCAACCATATCTTTTTAAATATGGTAATAAATCAATTTAAATCTCTTAGGGAAGCAAAAATGAAAGACTTTTCAGTGGGAGAAAGGATACTTGCTACATGGGCTGATGGTAGAAAATATCCAGCTAAAGTAAATGCCGTCTTAGGAAACGGTAAGTGATCTAACCTTAACTACGTACTTGTGAGAATTACCTATATTGTTGGTTTGACGTTTCGTGATAGGATATCTTTCTAATTCGAGAAATGGTGCCTTTTTAATTTTAGATTATTTTCACAGATAGGTATGATGTACTATTTGATGATGGATATGCAAAGACAATTAAATCGTCAAAAATGACAAAAATCGCTACAACAGCCTCAAAGGTACAGTATTTGTAGTAAGGTTATGTTATATTATCGTTAATGTAAAACTCAATCAACTATAATTACTTATATTTTTGTTTTTATTTCTTATTACCGAAATGATATAGAGTAAAGTAGAATTTTTAATTTGTTTTATTAATGTAAATATTAAAAAATATAATATTTTTATAAAATGTATTTTTATAATCATATCACTTTTAAAAAATTTATTATTACCTTTTAAATAATAAGTAAATATATAACAATTTTATAAATATATAATGTTTAATATTTATTACTTAAATATACAATGTAGTCATCATAAATTAAAATTTTATATAATATACATTGTTTTCTCATCATTTATATAAATTTTTTATTACAATTTGCATTATTATATAGTAACATTAAGATAAAAATGAATAAAATAGACAGTTTATTTTTATTTATTTTAAAAATTCTTATAAAATTTATAAAAAAAAGCATGATCAGTAATATCAATAGAGATAGTAAATGAAATTTAATTTTATTATTTCTAACAGCAATCTAGTCAAACTGAAGAATATATAGGAAGTAAGCAAGAAAGAAGGGATAAGAAAAGAAAGCATACAGTAATGGAGTTATTTCACACACATTATAGAAAACGTACAAAAAATGAAACAGATAAAGTAACAAAAAAAGAAGGAATTGCAGTTAATGAAAATGCAGAATGCTTATCGGAAAATAGAATTGATTTGGATGGTACTTTGTTTGGACCTTGTTATGATCCAGGCACAGATTTATTACGAGGATTTGATACCAATGTATCTAAAATGAAAGCTTATTCTAAAAAAAGTAAAAAAGAAGTATCTAAAAATGATTTAGATCAAATAGAAGATGTGGGACCTGAATGGATAGATGGAGAACCTCAAGGAACTGAAAGTTATATAGTAGATGGAAATGATGGTATAGTGAAATTAAAAGTTAACTATTTATGCATTTTGTGTATAATATAAAGTGAAGGTCATATGAATGTATAATATATTTGGTTTTTATAGGACCACGACGGTCAATAATAGTTGCAGATAAAAGATTACCATCTGGCTGGCAGAAACATTTTACTCAAAGGAAAGCTGGTACATCTGCTGGGAAATGGGATGTTTTATTTCTTCATAAATCTAGTGGCAAAAAGTTCAGATCAAAAAATGATATTAGGGCATTTATGGAAAATCAGGGACAACTTGATTTTGATCCTGAGAAATTTGATTTTTGTATCCATCGCAAAAAGAAAAATCAAACCCAGAAGATAAAACAAGAAATAGTTATGGATGCTCCAAAAAAGATTAAGACCTTATTGCCCAAAATGAAGACAACATCAGTAACTGATAATTCTTTACTTGTTTCTACAAATACGCCAGTTACAACTTTAGTATCTACATCAACTACATCTATTACAGATGGTGGTAAGCTTCCATTTCTCTGTTTTATTTTTACATTACTCATCATATTTTATTGAGTTTACCTTTTTATGCTTACATGTATTAGGAGTAATTTATTGTAAGTACTAGTAAATAGTATTGAGTTAGGTCAAATATATTTTTCTAAATAAATGTAATAAATGACAAATAGTAATATAATACATATAAACATTCTTTAATGTTAGAAAAATAATTCTTTGTTTATTTGTTAACAGCTGTTTTTATTGGTGGACTGCGAGTAGAAATGGAGGACAGTGCTTATAAATGTCCAAAGCAAGGATGTAGTAAAACATTTAGAAAGGAAAATCTCTTACAAATGCATATAAAACATTATCATCCAGAATATTCAAAATTTTTGGGATGTACACCAAATGTTGCAGATTTAGCTTATGCAAGAACAATTGGAGAATCCATTGAAGATATTATTCCAAAAAAGTCAAATAATTTGTTAGAAAAATGTAATAAATTTGGAAAACGGAAATTTATTCAAGACAGATCACTTTATGTTTCATCACCATCTGTAACAAATACTGTCCAACCTGTATCACCAACAATAATCACACCAATAGCAACAGAAACAGAGGATGAAGTGGACCAAATTGAAAAGTGTAATGATATGCAAACAGAAGATATTAAAATAGAAAGAATGTCTCCAAGTTCTAGTCATAGTTTAGATATAGATGATGAAACCGACAAAAAACGTGAAGAAATGTGTGCAATGTCACCTGGAACATTATTTGATATGAAAATTAGAGAAGAGAAAACTCAAAGTGGTATTAAGACCCTTCTTCCAGTAAGACCACCTGTATCTTCAGAAGCACAGAGGATTGATAGATCGAAATCTTTAGATGAAGCTATTCATATCGATAAATTAAAAGGACAAAGGAAACGGCAATTATCAGAATATAGTTCTGATCTATCAAATAGGGGTAAAAAACGACATGGTAATAACGTACCCGGCATATTTAAATTACTTTCATAAATTAAAAATACAAAATGTTATTTTATAATAGGTATCCAAGAATTCACAGATGAGTATGGTGATCTAGATGATAGTGGTATGGATATGGAAGGACCGACTACCCCTATGTATAGATATAGCCGCAGGAAATCAGATTCAAGAAGTGACGAAAATAGTCAGAGTAGTAAGTTGTTTTTCTATATTAGCACACAATTTTAAGTATGAATAATTTTGCATTGAATGTTATGTTTTAATTTTGCTACTGCATATTGATTTATTTCTCTGTAATAGAAATGGTATTCTACTGTTTTATTACTTTATTTTTCTGTAGGTCAACTAAACGATTCTCGTGTTGAAAAAGATGATCCCTTGAAAGGGAATATTGGTAAAAAAGATACTAATGATGGGGAAGGTATATTTGTTTTGTTCCATGTTTTGTTCTATTTTATTTACTAAAGACTTATATTGATTTTTGAATTGACATTTGATTTGAATTGAAAAATATATTAATATTCAAAATATATTTTTGTTTTTCACATTTTTATACATTTCTAATGTTTATTTAATTTTAAAAAATTTAGATTAAAACATATTTATGCATGTTTTATTTCTTTGGCTGATAATAAAAGATAATTATTCTTCTTCTTTTTTTTTAACGATCGCTTTTTCGAGTAAAAATCGTACTTTTGTAGAAAATGAAGGAGTTATGATGATGATTAATGGTGAAATGGTAAAAGTGGAACAGCTTCGTAGAGAAGAAATAATAAATTGTACTTGTGGATTTATGGAAGAAGATGGTTTAATGATACAGTGTGATCTTTGTTTGTGTTGGCAACATGGTCACTGTAATGCAATAGAAAAAGAAAAAGATGTACCTGAAAAATACGTTTGTTTTATCTGTCGAAATCCATATCGACAAAGACTATCCAAAAAGTATTTTCATGATCAAGATTGGATAAAAGAAGGAAAATTACCAACATTATCTAATCGAACGAAAAATCAACATCGAGTTAATCAAAGAACAGCTATGTTAAAACGTTCTTATGATTTAGTTGCTGCTCTTTTACATGTGCAGCAAGTTTTGCACAGTTTGAGAGTGAAAATTAATGTAGCTCAGTAAGTATTAACATAATTGTTACTATTGTAATTGGAAAATACAGAAAATATTTAACTATAATGAAATTTGTATGGTAGAAAGAAAGATCATCCAAAGTTATATCTTTGGGCTAAAAATTGGGAAAGAATTGAAATACCAAAACCTAGTATGACACCAGTACCAATTATGGAGATTATGAAACCAGGAAAAGATTGTATAGATACTGTAAGTGAAGGGTCTCGTCGAATCGAAGTAAAAACAGAAACAAAGTTCACTTCAAAAGATGACCATGATGAAAAATCGATAGCATCAGACTCAGAATTAATGAAGATATTAGAGGAAGATAATATAGCTCCAGATGAGTCTAAAATTAGTAAAAAAGAAGATTTTGCAAATCAGAGTAAGAGTCATATTCTTCTTGATGCACTTACAAAAAGTGATACTTCAGAAACAAAATATACAAACTCATTACCTTCAGAGTCAAAAACAAATACAGGTAAAAATAGAAATAAATTTTTGTTTGTAATGAGAAAATAATATCCATTTTATTGTGCATAGATTTAGTAAGCAATCAATCGAATGTATCTGAGACTGACGTATCTGCATCAACTGTATCAGTAAATCATATAAATGAAGAACTAAATGAACATGAAATGTCAACACCTTTGCAACCTTTTATACCACAACCAGAAGCGCCAATTGATCCAGGAGAATGCCGAATGCGATTATTAGAACACATAGAACATTTTCAAAATCATATAGATGCAAAGTTAACATTTATTGAAGCACAAGTTTGTGGTTGGTAAATTTCTTTAAAATATTCTAAACGTTATAAAAAGCTTCAATTATCTAACATTTAATGCTTTTATAGCTTTAGAAACCATGGATCCCGATGATACATCTACCTCAGATGTTCAACCTCGAACTAAACAAACAGTTCAAATGCTTGTTCGAGATCTAAATACAGTACGAAAATTAGCTGCTTTATGCTAAATACAAATTATAGTTTTAGAAAATATTTTTAAATAAAATTTCTAAAAATGTAATTTGTCTTTGTAGAAATATTCATATGAAACCCAGTTTTTATTTTTTATACTACTGTTAATTATGGAAATAATTCTATTTAAGTGATTCAGTTGAGATTTAATCAAGATTTACAGTTAGAAACATCATACAATTGTATTTTATATTGTACATATAGTAAATATATGCAAATTTCTAATTATAAAGTTATAATAAATATAGATATTAAGTTGTAAGTTGTAATTGTACTATAAAATAATATTTATTCCTATTTTATGTATAGGTATGACTAAATTCAGTATGACAGTTATGTCCATTGTTATTGTATCAAAATCTTGTTTTTTTAAATATGTGTAATATGCATTATCCTTCATGGAAATGTTGAAACAAAATATAAAAGGTATGTTATAATAAACATATTGTTTTTATAAAATATATTTATTAAAGCCTTTAGATAAATGTATTAGGTTTCAACTTATACTAAGCGTTAAACATTCATTTTATTTTACTTTTAACTGCCTAAATTTTTCATTTTATTTGTGTTAAATACTATGTTGTACATTTTTGAAATCATACGCATTCACGAAATTTACAATTATTAGTATGTTCCGCACTTATTGACCATAATTAAGAAATAATAAAATATTAATCAAGTTATTTTTTGGTTAATTTTATTTTTTTATAAGAAAATTAGGAAGGGAAGTACTTGTCGCCATCATAGTTCAGCTTAGTGATGACGTCAAAAACTGTAGTAGTGTACAATCATGTAGCACACGAAAAACAAAGACAGTGAAAACATTGTCTGTATTAAGAAGAGAGAACAGAAAAGCATGTGTGCGCACGCCTAAGAACGAAGAAGATAGTAAGAGAGTGTAAAGGAGGGAGAATAGAGGCGTGCAGCAAGCAGTACGACAGGACGTAGAACGGCCGCTGCCGTGGTGTTTGGGCTCGGCTCGGTTGTGCCGCATCCGTTATGACGATACGATAATCCAGCGCTTAGCGCTGTGACCGTGTAATACATTATTTGCCATTACGCACTATTGACATTTATATTTTATGAAAAATTCGGAAGGAACGTGATGAAGGTGTATTGTTTTCTAATCTGATTGGTAAACTGTTTCTTCGTTGATCGTAGAGTTCTTTCGTACGCCATGTGCCATTGCTCTGCGTGTATTTCCTTTCTCTTTGGATCGTACTCGGTTTAATCTTCATAAAAATATCATTGTAACAAGTTTACCGGTGAATTTTTTTAATATAAATTTATATTAGTGATCCTGGTGATTTGTGTTAGTGTAAGTGCGAAGAATAATTTTCTTCTTTTTGTATCTTTACATTTTTATCCGGCGTAAACTGAAAGTCAGAACAAGAACAATAACGGGAGAAACGGAAAAGAGGATAGACGGTGGATTTGCTGAGCTCAAGTAGGAAAGATATCTCGCAAGGAGCGCAAGTGGCGTATCAAGATGGCGCATAATTTGGCACCGAGCGTCAACTGTTCGCTAGACGACATTGATCTGAACGCTTTGAAGGTACGTAATGGTTTTTAATGCCTTTTATTTATCAAGCATAGATTTAATATTTAACGTCAGCTGTTTATGGATGCAGAATTTTTTTTTTATATCCTGATTAAACGCAGTGATTGGTAATTAACCTCGTAAGAATAAACGATGATTATTATTTCTTGGTAGCACCACGGCGTAAAGAAGGAAAGAAGGAAGGAAAGGAACAGTTTTCTTGAATTTTTGTTTGTAATATTTTTTAGATGACATATTGAAAAATCTAAAATCATTTGATTGTTCATCATTTTTGTATCTCATTTACTATATAATTTATATGAATAATTAAAAAGTTATGTTTAGCAGTTAATATTCTGAATAAACGTTATTATGCATATTTATTACTTAAATTATTAGTAATAATTTTATAATTGTGATGAACATTATTTTAATTTTCTTTTATTATTACATTCCGTTCATTAGTTGAAGAAACTTTTTATCATTATTGAAATGTAATTTTTCTGATTATAAAATGTGAATTACTTGTATATACATACATACATTAATGCGCGCGCGCGCGTACGCACACGCACGTACACACACGCGCGTACACATACACACACACACACGAAGCAAATAAACAAATATTAACAATTTATATTACCTTAATATTAAAAGTTTGTGCCTTACTGTTAATGTGTATTGTAGAAAACTACAGAATATTCGATATTATTTTTATTCTGTAAAAGTAATCAGTTCAATACTCTGTTATATTTACATAATAAATGATTTTTTTATATTATCAATATTATTGAAAATTATTGGTTAACTACTATTTTATATATGCTATGTTCTGTAAAACACAATATACTTTATAGTACATAAACCATATATGCATGTAAAATATATACTTAAATTTGTGCATGTATGTGTTATAGGAACCTGCAGGTATCTTCGAATTGATTGAAGTTGTTGGTAATGGAACCTATGGCCAAGTTTATAAAGTAAGTACATGTTAAAATATAGTAATATTCTAAATATCGTTCCTTCTTTGTCATTAATTTTGGATGAGAAATAAAAAATGTTGATAAATTTTAATCAAGAATTGAGTAAAGTTTAATAAATTAGATTGTAGAATGTAAATAGTAATTATTAATATGTTAGAGATTTTATGTTATAATATTCAAGATAATAATCACTTATTTTTAACCAAAGTGATAATGTGTATAAACAATAATAATTTATAATGTTCTGCTGAAAATGTATAATATAGTTAAAGATAAAGAGCAATTAAACCACTTTCCTTACCAACTTTTTTCAACATTTGCACTAGGTCTGTTTATAACTTCTATTTGGTTCATCTTTTTGTATGTTATAATGTCAAAGACTACATTTACATAATTATACATCTATATCATGATTTTTTTCTGTATATAATATTCTAAGAGTATCTGAGTGTATAAAATTTAAGGATAAATGGATATGTTTTTTATTTTGCATTGTTTTAGTAAAAAGAAGTAACATTTTTGCAACTATTTGATACTTTTGCATAAATATGAAGAAAGTATTTCAATGCACATATACGTATCACGTATAGATCTGTGTTAATATCAGTTTAGGTATGGAGATAAATAAAGATTTGCCTGGTTCAAGTTATACAATGAAAAGTGAACATTGATTTTGAAAAACTTTATAATTCTTCATAATATAATGAAATAATCAGTAACTAAATTATTTTTGGCAATTAATCAATTTTGAAAAGAGAACAATTAAGAAATTCAGTTAAATATAAGTAGCAAGAAAAATTAATAATTAATAATGTTTTTCTGTATATTTTTTCATAACTTAAATTATCATATATTAATGAAATTTTGGTGGTATGGCAATAATAGGTACAATTAAAATATTCATGTTATCCAAAACTGTTATAGCAAGTGGAGTACATTTTTCAATTCCATGTGATATGGTATAACTAATTTTTAATTGTGCTGGTCAAAAATCAATTTTATATATACATTGATGTGTTACATGGAGACAATATTATGATTCTTACTTTTGCCTGTGTGTGATGATAAAGAATAAGGGGGGAATGAGGAAGAGTGCGATGACCTACTATTGATGACGACATAGAACGAATGAAACAGCCGTGCGCATGAGTACAAACGATTAAACGCTGTGTTGTCAATTTGTACTGATTCCTCGATTGTTTATATCTTCCACAAGATAGTGTTAATTAACGAATTTTACAAGAATCTGCGTTACACCGTGCGGCTATGTATTACTTATATTTGAATTACGTATAATCGCTAAATAAATTGTGCAAGTGAAAAATTTACCATAGTAAGGTACAGATGTACCATATATTTTAATATTATCACCAGAGTATTATAAATGAACGTTATATTTAATCGGTACGTTATGGCGTATAATAGGAAATTTATGTAAGAAGCTTAATAAGAAATTAATTAATAAGGAATAGTATATAGATAACATAAATTGTACATTTCATCGCCGTTAACTGTTATTACAATAAAAGCCACAAGTTTTGGCTGTTCAAGGTCATTCATCTGATCACATTTGAGGACAAACTTCTACTTTTCTATATTAGTACATACGTGGGCATTTCATATTTGAAAATTATGTCATTGTAACATGATTGATTTGTTTTCCTCTTACTCTCACCATTCTCTTTTATTTTTGCTTGATTTACCTCTCCATTTTCTTTTTTCACAGATCTTCTTTTATTAATATACTATTTTTGTATTTGTTTATTTATTTAACTATATAACTCAACGATTTCAAATTTATATGTGAATTATTTTTTATAAAAAATGTATAAAACATATTTTTTTATCGTTTTAGGGGAAGTATGTGTTTTAGTGGTTACTTTTTCCCTGTATTGTTTATACATCAGAGTTTGAGGACTGCTTCAAATGAAAGATTTAATAAGATAAATAGCATTATGGAATGATAGATTTAATATAGATATTTATTGGAATATTTACAGTGAAATTACCCTATTATTTAAATTTAAAATTTTATTATTTTAAATTACCTGATTAAGTAGTGTAAACTTGTTTCAACATACCAAGTGGTTTATATATCAGTTCACTTGAAAGTACTGAAAAAATACCAGTATTATACTTTCTTATGTCTTAATTGTAATTATATTAAGTAATTTATTTTTTTAACTACATTTAATATTTATTTATGTTTGAACTGTGAACAAAGTTCAATAAAACACGTGATATACATATAGTATGTAAAGTAACAAATTCTGCATATCTTTATTCTGACTTGCAAGTATAATTGGATCTTTGCTAAACAAAGATGAAAAATACAATATTTTATAATATATTTTTTTGATTTCTCTTTTTAAAGATATATTCAATATATTTCTAGCTAATTTATACCCTCTCTACGAGTATTTTTCAATCTCTTTACAACAGTTTTTAAATGTTTTATGGAGAAGAC